AAAAAATTAACCAGGTATTGTGGCACGTGCCTGTAGTTCTACCTACTCGGGAGGTGAGGCAGGAAGATCAACAAAGCCCAGAAGTTGAAGGTTATAGTGAGCTATGATGGTACCACTGCACTCCAGCCTGGCCCACAGAGCAAGACCCTGCCTCAAAAAAAAAAAAATGTAGTACGATTGGTAAAACTGTTACTAACACTTCGTAGGGGCACAAGTCAGCTCCATGGCATCATTTGTTTTAATGGTAATCAGCTGCGAAATTGCAGAGAGCCCTGGATACCAGCCTCAGGAGCTGGATTTATCTTCTAGCCCAGCAGGTCCCCAACCAAACTGTCCAGGGACTGTCCTGGAGATTCTCATTGCCCAGAGATTCAGATTCTGTGGGTGGTGACATCTGGAAATCTGTATTTTTAATTAGCTCCTTACCGACTCTCATGTAGCCAGATAAGTGTGATCAGGGCACTAAGATTTTTTATTTTTTTAATGAAAATGACAAGGTCAGAGGTGTGTTTTCAGAAGAGTGTAAAGTGTTGGGGAGAGGAGGGACTGGAGTTTCTGAGATCAGGTAAGAAACTGTGTTTACTGTCCAGGGGAATAGTAATGGGGCATGAAATGGAATAGGGAAAACACGGTGCCAAGGAAAACAGTGAACCAGGGAGGAGAGGAGTGTGGCGCTTCCGCTGTAGATGCCCAGCTACATCTAGAAATAATTGAACAAATATTTTGTGGGCATTAGACCAGGCAACTAATAAACAGGAGTAGGCAGCAATCCTTGCCTTGGTGGAATGTGTTCGAACCAGGTCAGGAATGAGATCACTGGGGATTGAGCCTGAGCTCCAGCGCCCCCTGGAGGTCTGTTACGTACGCTAGGCTGACCAGCTCCTGTCAGAATATTGAGCAAAGTACCTCCCATGGAATGTTCTGGGACCTTAAAATAGACACCCAAGTATACCCCCTGATGTTTATGGTTCCCTGTGGGGCAGAAATTAAGTGTAATCCACAGTTGGGATTCAGACATGGGTTGACTAGTCTGAAGGACTTGCAGTTTATAGAGATGATTGAACTAGAGTGAAAACACAGGTGCCTCCAAAATCAAATCACACTGAGCGGAAAAGCCTGGCAATTCGGATAAATGTGGACAGAGGTGGAAATACCACAGGGTTAAAGGCTGTGGGCCAGTTCAAGACTGCACTTTTACCCGGCCGGCCCCACCTCAGGGTACTTGTGTCTCTGGGAAGTAGAAAGTAGAAAGGAAAGAATTCAGTGATGAGGACCTGGAACCTCCGATCCGGGAAACTCCTGTGAATGGGCTGTTCTCTGGGGCAGCTGCATCTTTTCTGCGTTCTGGAGAGGAAAGGGTGCTGGAGGCAGAGATCCCAAAGACAAACTGCAGGGGCAGCGTGCAGATTGACCCCCAGCTGCCTGGGAGCCAGCACGGGGACAGCAAACGGACAGCTGCCGAGCTGCAGGCGTCGCCTGATCATCTGTGAGGTCCGCAGGACAGGAAAGACGGTTCCCAGAGGAGGAACTTGGAAAAGGACGGGATTTCCACCAATCTAGCATGTAGGGGCTCAGAACATTGGATTTGTGGACATTACTA